CCAGCTTTATTAAAGATACTTTTCATAAACAATCATGGTATTCAGGCAGGACATGGGCAGACAATTGTTAACAGTATACAACAACTTTCAAACTCCTTTCTTCGATAGACTACCAAAATCAGAAAGCCACTAAAAAACCCAATGAAGTCTTCATCTGATGGTCTAAACAGGGAAAGTTTAGAGAGAGGGTTGACATTTCACATTTAGCATGTTGTTTAACAACTTTTCATGAGCCAACCCTGACTTTCAGAAAATGAAATGAAAAAGGCAGAATGACCAATCTGAAGACCCACAGTCTCAACAAAGGGACCGCTGCTCTTTTGAGGGTGCTCTGAGTTGGTACCACTGGAAAGCTCAGGTTCCCTGACACATGAATAACTAGTTCTCTGAGGTCAGGTCTCTGGGTTTATGGGAGACAAGTCTATGCTGAAGGCAGAGAGGGCGAAGAGGATATGAAGATGTAAAAACAAATTGTACTTTTCCCACACCACATGGCATTTGTGTGCCAAGGTGGCTAATGTGTGTTAACGTCAGGGAATCACTCCTCCTGGGAACCAAGAGGGAGTCTCTCAAAACTAGATGGGAAAGGTGTTTGCTTCCACATCAATCCAGCTTTGGAGACACTGTATTAGTGACATTTGCTCCTTTCCCCCAAAACAATGAAGTGTTTTGTGTGCTAACAACATAGCTTAAAAAAAAAAAAAGTAAAACAAAATTCTGCATTTTTATAAAACTTGATAAAAAATAGTATTTCAAACTGTACAGTCACCAGAAGTACACAGTTATCAAAAGAGCACACACTTCACTTGGCATCCCCAGCACTTTCAGCTTTTGTGCCTGGTCTGTTTTGGCATCTCCATTTTCTGCAGGGTTATTTCCATCCTTGCCAGCATCAGCTTTCCCCTTTTTCCCTTGGGGTACCTTCTCTCCCTTCTTTGCAGGGGTCTTTTTAGGCTTAGGCTCTGGTTTTGGAGGAGCAGGTTTAGCAGATAACCTTGCGGATCTCCTCAGAGGTTCATCCTTCACCTTGGCTTTATCTCCCTTAGCATCCCCTTCAGCCTTTGTCTTGGGCATGGTGGCTTTGGCGGCGGGGCGCAGGCGCTGGACACGGGGATGCGGCTATGCGCAGACTGGTCCATCCGGGGGTCATTCTCGCCTCTTCTTCACACTGCTCTATTATGTATATTTTTACTAACATAAGCTAAAAAACTTTAAGAAAGGCATGCTATTTATGAATAGTCAAGTAATTAGCGTATTTTAATGAAGTTATAGTAGGTAAATGGTTTAGAGATAAAATGTTTTATGCTGATGACCTGAAGATGCTCAAGTATATTCAATAGTTTTAACAGACGCCCTTAATTCTTTGCAAACAGAAAAAGAAGACTTATCAGGAAAGAAAAGTACCAAACGATCTTCTCAGCAACCTCTACCTTATAATGCTCTTCTATCTTCTAAGTTCCCCAAAACATACATGCTTGACTCTACAGGTAAATTACATTTCCATGTCCCAGTAACTGGGAAGAAAAGTTGACTCCCTTCCTATATTCTTGATATGGTGATGTCAGGGGTAGTGGTAGCGATTGTGTGCCATAGAGTTGGTTCTGACTCATAGTGACCCTGTATAGGGTTTCTGAGATTGTAAATCTTTACAAGAGCAGAAAGTCTCATCTTTCTCTCGTGGACTGGGTGGTGAATTCAAACTGCTGACCTTGAGGTTAGCTGCCCAACACGTAACCCACTATGTCACCATGGCTGGGTATTTGTTGTTGTTGAGTGCCATCGAATCGGTTTTGACTCTTAGCCACTCTGTATAGGATTTCCGAGAATTGACTGGTGGATTTGAACTGCCAACCTTAACTCTCAACTGCTTATCCTACAGCGCCACACCAATAGGGATGTGTATTTTCCCAAACCCAATTTGGCATTTAGGGAACTTTGTTGAGCATTTAATTCCCTTCTAAAGTACATAGTTGTCATTTCTCCTTAGAAAAAGAATGATGATAACATTTTCCATCCAGTTTTGCAATGTTAACATCTTACATAAAAAGAAATATAGAAGCCTGGCACCTTTAACTGATAGAAGTTTAACTGTGCAAGTAGTATAGTAGATAGATGTTAGAAATCAACTGGGTGTTCATATTATAACAAATCCTTATAAAGAACTCAATTTCTTAAAATGAATGCTGTATTTGGGTGTTCATATCCTTGGTGACAAGACTGGCAAGGGATAGTTGCCATGAGAAATATAGGTAAAATCATAAGCTCATTTTGAACTTCACGACAGTGTCCATTACTATAAATGCCAAAGAGAGGGGATGATTATGTACTTTGTATTAGAGGCTTTAGAGCTTTGTGATGCAGTATAACATCAGCAAAATGAACCATTGTGGGAAATTAAGACATTTGACTTTTAACCACTCTTGTCTTTTTCTTTACAGAAGAACAACAGTTGACTCTGGAGGAAAATGGCAAGTCCAAAGAACAAAAGCTTCCTGAAGAATCTAAGAAGTCTTCACTGAACTCAGCACTCTTTCTAAATCCTGTCTGTAGAAATCCTGTAAACATTCATACCTCAAATTTCCGGAGTTGTGCTCAACCTACACCGGGTACCTCAAGTTCAGCACTAGTTGGGTACAATTTCTTTGCCAAGAGCAGTAACTATGAAGTTAACAGGATGCAAACGCAAAGAAAAACTGAAGGTACAGTTAGTCACAAATAGTGAATCTGAATCATTTTATATTGTCTTTCCCCTTGAAGTTTCCATGCCCAGTAGCATCTCCTGAGAGTGTATCACATTGGAGAAAGTGCCAAACTTGGAGAGATAAGAGTTCTCCCATTTGCTTCACTGTCAGAGCCAAGGGATTATAGATGTTACAGTCCTTATGGCATGCACAAAATTGTCTTTGGAGAGCTGGGTCACTGACCCGGGTCTCTAGAGAGACTTCTCAGATTGATCAGTTGCAATTTATTGTTTAATTGGGTACTGTCTGGACTCTCAAACCTCCCACGGCTCAGAGGCTTGGAAAGGCATTACTCCCCACCCACTTCTTTCTGTGGTGTTTCTCTTGAGACATTTTCTGGCCCTAGCCTGTGTGTGTGTGGCTCCAAGATCCTAGCTCTGTCTTCTGTGGCTGCTGCCACCACGTTTCCATTCTCCTCATCCACAGTCACTCCCTTATATTCACCAGAGAGATATAGCCTGCATAGATATGCATCTGTGTAGACATGGCCTATGTAGACAATCATCTTTCACATGTACAGACAGCTGCTGTCACTTCCCTTTTAAGAATTCAAGTATGGGAAGATAGTTGTGGCAATGAATGTTTTGTCCTTTATCTCTAGATAGATGTGTAGACAAAGTTGAAGTGTGAAGAAAGTGGAAACTAAATGACTCCCTTGTCTTTCATCATGAATATTATCTATGGGTAATCACACCCCCACACACGGTGACACATTTAATGTTGTCACCTTCTGTACCCTGCTTCCCAGGGAGATTTTTTCTACTTTTAGAGTGGCCTTGTGTGCAGGGATTCAGAAGATACATGTCTGTTCCATAAAGTGTTAGTGTACCCTGAATTATCAATATTTTCACATGAAGTATAAATTATTTTCACAAAGTATGAGCTATTGAACTCAGACCTTCTCAATATAAGATTCTAAAAGGTTACCACTGATGATGAAGATATCATTCCAAATTCATGCCTAACACTTCCATGCCAAATTAAGCCTGTATTTGGGCTTGAACAGGTTAGCTTCAGCTCTTTATTGGAGTAGAAAGGATAATAGTAATGTTATTGTATCGCCAGCACCACCAACATCTTAAAACTATCTGCTAGATACATAATATTTTATATAGCTTCATACGTTAAATCTTTATAATTGTTTTTGAGATATGTTGTTAAGAGCTGTTGAGTTGGTTCTGACTCACAGCAACCTTGTATAGCGTTTCCAAGGAGTTGTTAATGGATTTGAACTGCTAACCTTGTGGTTCGCAGTCCAGAGCTGATCCTACAGTGTCACACCAGGATTCCATGAGGTATAGGTGCTGGTAAACATTTTTGGTGAGAAATCTGAGAAATTACTTATTTCACATCAGTGTTGTGATGTTGAAAAGTAATGAAATTGAGAGATACACATGAAAAAATGAACCATTGTGAGGTTTTTACAAATTTGTTTTGTTGTCTTATAATTCTCCTACCTTTTTCCTGGGTAAATACCCAAATTACTTCTGAAATGACCAAGTGGGTAGGTAAGAAAGAGTGAGTTGCTGGTTAATTCCCACGCAAAAGGATCAAGTTTGTGTTGTTAATGGCCCTTAGCATTTCTCAAGCTGAAAGAACTGAAGAAAAAATTGAAGCCCTCTACTTAACAATATTGAAGGATTCTATGGGCAAAATATTGAATGATGAAGAAAGCATCAAAAGAAGATTGAAGGAATGTGCAGTCACTGTACCAAAAAGAAATGGTCTGTATTCAACCATTTCAAAAGGTAGCATGTAATCAAGAGCCAAACTTCATACTGAAGTCCAAGATGCACTGAAGACATTAGCAAAGAGAAGGCTCTGAGAATTTATGGTATACAAATGAAATCTTTCAACAAATTGAGGCAGCTCTGGCGGCACTCATCTTTGCCAAGAAATTTGGTGGATTATGTTGATCGTTTTTCTAATGTTGAACCATC